TCTCTCTCTCTCTCTCTCTCTCTCTCTCTCTCTCTCTCTCTATCTATCTATCTATCTATCTATCTAACATATCTATCTATCTATTTTCTATCTATCTATCATATCTATCTTCTGTCTGTCTGTCTGTCTATCTATTTATCTACCATCATCTTTCTCTGTCTGTCTGTCTGTCTGTCTGTCTGTCTGTCTCTCTCTCTCTCTCTCTCTCTATCTATCTATCTATCTATCTATCTATCTATCTCTATCTATCTATCATCATATCTATCTATCTATCTATCTATCTATCTATCTATCTATCTATCTATCTATCTATCTATCTATCTGCTGTCTGTCTGTCTATTTATCTACCATCATCTCTGCCTCCCTCCCTCCCTCCCTCCCTCTCTCTCTTTATCTATCTATCTATCTATCTATCTATCTATCTATCTATCTATCTATCTATATCTATCTATCTATCTATCTATCTATCTATCTATCTATCTATCTATCATATCATATCATCTATCTATCTATCTATCTATCTATCTATCTATCTATCTAACATATCTATTTTCTATCTGTCTATCTATCATATCTATCTATCTATCTATCTTCACTGTCTGTCTGTCTGTCTGTCTATCTATCTGTCTATCTATTTATCTACCATCATCTCTCTCTGTCTCCCTCCCTCCCTCCCTCCCTCCCTCCCTCTCTCTCTCTCTCTCTCTCTCTTTATCTATCTGTCTGTCTGTCTGTCTGTCTGTCTATCTATCTATCTATTTATTTATCTACCATCATCTCTCTCTGTCTCCCTCTCTCCCTCTCTCCCTCTCTCTCTCTATCTTCTATCTGTCTATCTGTCTGTCTGTCTATCTATTTATCTACCATTATCTGTCTCTCTCTCTGTCTCTGTCTGTCTGTCTATCATCTGTCATCTGTCAACTGTCATCTATCATCTATATTATATATTTTGCTCATTACCTTCTTGTCCGTTCTTCAAAAATATCAGGAGTCCCTGCTGCTCTTTTTTGGACTAGCAAATTTTATGAGTAGACACCCCCTTTTGTGAGCTGCCGTTTATCCTAAAAGCCGAGGCCTTCTGATAAAACCTGCCAGTTCGAAAATGTCCTCTCCTGAGTTCGGCTACCACAGACTAAACACAGCTCCCTTCCTCCAATGTCAGCCACGGCCAGAGATGTTGGGAGCAAACCACAAAAGCTACACACAGTTGTCCTAGACAGGCAGGCTGCCGCCTCCTCCTCCTCCTCCTCCTCCTCCTCCTCCTCCTCCTCCTCCTCCTCC